AAATCCTGCCCTTGGAAAAATTCATGAGCAAGCTATAACTGTAGTAAGGAGAGGGACAAAAAATAACTGGTGAGAGTTTCTTTGAGATTCTTCTGTTTCCTGAAATAAATTGAAAACTGCTAACACTGTAGTGTTAGTTAATATTGCCATCTACAGAGTAGATAGATAATTAAAATTTACATGAAAATCTGCATCTTGTAAACTTTAAAGTTGTCATGTATTTTTAACTTCCTGTGTAGTAGGTGTAAATATCTTGATGACCCTTATTTAAGAATAAAAATCAGATGCTGCCATTGAGTCGTAGCTTTTTGATTCTGCTGCAGCTTGGTTGATAAAGCATAATTTACAGGCTTTTGCTGTTTACTGTTGCCATATCTCTTGTGTGTTTCTCTAATGTTGCTTACAGAGATCTAAGAAACTTTTAAGGAAAGTTCCTGTACAATATCAGCTAAGAGTTTAGAACCAACTTCCTTACAAGGAGCGTAAACATATCTCTAGTTTCCTTTTAAAGGTTACATAAAAAAATGAGTTTTAAGTTACTTGTGACTTGCCTGTCCTTTATGTTTATTGCTCATAGTGTTTCTTTGACACACACAAGCACACCCCTGCCATACAGTATTCCATACAGATGAGATTTACTTCACCTGGGTGATGGAATTGCTATCCAAGGAACAAAACCTTCAGTGAAGTCACACCAATCACTCTTGCAGCTTTTCATTTCTCTTAAAGCACTATGATAGTCTCCCTGGAAATACTTTCCCTCTTAGCTCCTGAATAACTGTCTTCCTATCACTACACTCACTTGTCCTTTAGGAAAGCTTGGCTTTTTAAGTTTAAAACACACCCCTCAATTCAAGTAAAAATTTGGACCTCTCAGGTGCCATACAAATACTCCTGGTTTTCTGTCTGCTAGCTCATTCTACACTGAGTGGTAGCCAACAGCTAACTTAACTTGCAGTGAAATGAGTGTGGGCCTTATGTTCTTGCTCAGACCACAGGAATTGTAGAAACAAGGATGTATAAGGATGCTGTAAAGCCCAAAAAGGAAAGGTTAGCAATAAATCAGGAGTTCAGCCTTTAACACCATTAATGTTCTTCATTAATTCCCTATTTAATGCACTGAGCAGATGGCCCTCTGTCATAGGGGAAAGGTGTTTGTCTTGCAACATAATAACCACATGCCTTTAGATGTGAAATCCAGTCATCACAGCAAAGTGAAAAAACCTTAAGAGGGAATAAAATCTGAGCAAACTCATGTATAAAGAAGTAAAAAAAAAGAGTATCTTTTTCTGTACTTTTGCCAATTCTGATGTTTATTAATCACTAAATTAAATAATTATGTCTTAAGTTACAGACAAATTTTCATCCCACGTACAGAATCAATATAAAGAACAGGTCCACCTGCTGTCCATGCTAACCAGTGTAAGAGATGCCTTTCAGAGGTGCCAAGGCTCCCACAAAAGGGAGTGGAAAGTCCTACTCAACTGCCTTCCTGCTGTGAACTCCCAAGTGGTATGAAAGATGCTTTTCACACACCTCCTCAAGGAAAAAGGCAATTTTACCCTTAGAAAACAGGATAAGAATATAACTTAAAATGCAAGATGTCAGAAAAACCAATCCTCTTTACAAATAAATTTTCAAAATATTAATACTGGAAGAGTTGTATGAATTATGAATTTTGTTCAAAAGTTCCCATATTTTCTTTTTAATGTGTATTATAGTAAAATTGATAGTATAATTAACATATTAAAATTTATAATTAATATGTCAAAATATTTTGCAATTTATTATTAGGATGCCAACCTATATTCAAAAGGACAACATGAATATTTTGGATATCAGACCCATGGGAATGAATTTGTTAACACCCTGTGAACTAGAGGGATGACCAGAGACAGAAGTTAGTGTAAAGTCAAATCTGGGTTTCAGTAGGACTTTCCAAAGGAACTTCAAAAAGTTATAAATCAAAGATGTTACTATAAAGCAATATAAGCTACCTTCTAATAAACATGTAACATATTTCTAGTTACTATGCATGTATTCCCATGGTGTGTTTTTCTGGAAGACCAAAGTGAGTGAGCATATTACTCTTCCATTTTTTAACACAGATGCTGAAAAAGACAGCTTTCTTGGTTTTTTTTGTTCCAGATAGGAACAAAAGGATGCAAAATCCTTTACAGACTTCTTTCCAAGGCAATCTGCACAGCTTGATCTATATGAACAGAGCAGATGTAAAAAAGAAGCATCAGAGTCCAGTTGCTGCTAGCCATGATTACAGAAATTAACATAATATGGGGTTATTAAAACCAAAATGTATAATTCAGAAGAAAAAAAAACCCCAAATTTCCGTTTTGCAAAATACCACCGCACGTGCGTGTCAGGAGTGTAAAAAAGTATAAATTTGTTGTGCTACTGTGTGTCCAACTACTTGCTCCAGCTCATTGAGGGTCGCGTTACAAAGCCGATGGATGCTTCCGAAGCGCTGCAGTAAAAGCAGAGCTTTGGTTTTCCCGACGCCGGGAATGTGCTGCGCCGCCTGCAGCACTGCGGCTTCTGCCAGCTGGGTGCGCTGCTTGCCGAGGAAGGGGTTGGTGCGATCCCGGCTCTGCTCCCGCACCTGCAGCCAAAGGGAACCGTCAGCACAGCCTGCGCTGCTGCCAGCCTTTCAAACCCTCCCACTCCAAACACTTCCAGCACTAGGAAGTTTTCAAAACAAGCTCTCTGCTTATTGGATGAAGTTGGACAAAATCTTACTAGGAAACCAACAATTTTAATAGCAAAACCAGATGAAAACGATTATTTTTGTCACCTTTTTGATACAGAGAAAGGGTAAAAAGAAGCAATTTAAAAACAGTTACTTAGCCTCAGAGAAAGCAAAATTTAAAGTTGATTTTGACAGTGACATTTGCCTACTGCTACCCAGTGGTACCTCAGTACAAGATTACATTTTAAAAATCCAGGATGATATTCTTCAGCCTTTTTTCTTTGTTCCCAAGTGAGCCTTCTTTCCACTGAACTATACTACCGTATCACTATTGCAGAAGATTTATTCCTTACATTCAAATTATATTGTGTCCCTTTAAGATCCTATATATTCTCTCTGAAATGACCACTGAGGAGATCTATCAGCTTTCCTGTACATCCCATATTTTAATATAACACAGAAACTTACTAGTTGAATAATTAGCTGAGAAGCTTCTCCTTGATTTGCCACAGGAAGCAACACCATTCCAAGCTCGAGTACAACAAGTTTTTGTACTCCTAGGTAGTACTGATCACTGATTTGGGTTTTCTCTACAATTACAATTCCCCTAAGACTGCTGGTCTGTATTGAAAGGAAAAAGATATTAGAAAAAAAAACCTTGTTAATGACAAGTTAATGCAGTGTAACAGAGAGAAATTCTTTCAAGCATGAAAAAAATAGCAAATCAGAGGAAGAATGCAAGTTGCAGCAATAGGACTGAAGTTTAATACAGCATTATCATTATCACACAGCTGCAGAATTTTTCTGTTTTCAGGTGAAAATTGTCCCAAAAGGTCAGCTCCAATGGAATTAAAAAAAAAACAAAACCAACAAACCACAAGAAGAATGTTGTCAGAACCATTGAACAAATGTCAACTGAACAATTTTCTCTTTAAATAGCACTTACATTTCTAAACTTAACCAATCTTCGTTTGAATTCATCCCCTGCAACCAAATCTGCTTCAGAAATAAGTAAAATGCAAGTCCTGTTCGAAAGATGAAAGTCCACCAGTCCCAAGCCATCTTCAAAGATGAGTCTAACTTTCCCTTAAGGGTGAGATTGTTAGAAGAAAAAATACACTAGTTAAAAATAAACTAACAATTACTTCACAGCACAGCCTTCCTAAAGTGTCAGTAATTCTAGTGACTTCATAATGAACATTATAAAAAGCCTTTTTTCTCCTTTAAGTAAATGTATTACAAGCAATCCAGACTTACTGTGTGATGTCTTTAGTAATGCAAATTAATAGCAGTTCCAATCTACAGATTTAAAAGTACTAGAGCTGCTCAGTAAACTCTGGACTTGAACAAAAATAACACATGCTTTTCTGGAGGGATCATCATAATTTAGTTTGTTGTGCCAGCAAGACAGTAGCAGAGTACACAAGTAAATTCAAGGGAGTTCAGTGGAGATGCATCTGACAGCCCCATAACAGCAGATTCTGCTGCTTCCCTACAGTGCTCTGCTAGTGTGAAAGCTGAGCTGATCACACAGGTACATGACAAACAAACAGGATCTTTCAGCCTGCTAACACAGTCCACACAAATATGTACCACAAATATGGGACCAGTCAGGCACAGAGTAAAGCATAGTCCAGCCATTCTTGTTACTGGGCAATAGAGGGGAGTGTTTATCCTGACTTGCTTTTCCTCTTCCAATTTGTTTGTGCTTACCTTGTAGCTTTTGGGCTATCTCTGACCCTCTCCACTTCTCATTTCCAACCACATGCCCGTAAGGGACAACTATAGATCCTGCTGTCACAGGAGAGTTTGCTTTTGTTGTCATCAGACCTCCTTTAAAATCCGCCTTCAGTAGCAGCTACACCTTAAAAAGGAATGTGGAAATACAGCAACACATTTTACAAACCTGTTCCAAACTTACACATATTAATCATGAATTTAGGATGCAATATTCTGGAAGAAACACTATCTCCTTCCTCAAGCTTCCTTACAGTTAAGGTATACATATCAAAATAGGCCAGCAACTCTGTTCACTTTAATACAGGCTGTTGCATTGGCTTGCAAATTCCACTTTCAGCTGTACTACTTAATCTGAAAAACTCCTGAATCAAAACACATAGACTGTGAAAAACCCACAATGCCTTTTCCATACCTTCATCCACCCTTGCTGGAAGAAAATCTTCCTGAATTGCAAAGCCTCCATCCCTCAGCTGGTGGAAGTCTCCAGGCCAATTATTAAAAGGAGAGATTATCTTCAGGTTTGCCAGCTTTATGCGGTATTCTGACTTTACGGGGAATGGGCAGCCTTGGAGGCCAAGGCAGGTCTAAGGACAAGCCGCAGCGCTACCAGCGCTCACCGAAACGGAGCGGAGCCGCAGCCCGAGGAGCGGGGACAGGCCGCAGGGGCGGGAGCCCGGCCTGAGGAGCCGCCCGCGGCAGGAGCGGGCCGGGCGGGCAGCGGGCCCGGAGCGGGAGGTTCCCGGAGCGGGAGCGGGCAGCGGGCCCGGAGCGGGAGGTT